ATGCCTCTAATTTTGGTCTCTTGAAAATATAGGGATTAATAGCACTGACAGAGACATTGACATTACCCCAACCATTTGATAACGTGGACAGCACACAACAATGTCAGAAAGTCAACACAAGTCAACACATTTTTATATGCCGTAGGTTTAATATCTAATGATGTTCTGGTAAGACAGAGCATGGGAGAAAATACTACAGAGTTGATGCTTTCATTAAAACATTTGACATTTACTTTATCCATAAAAAAATTTGGTGATAAAACTGGTGAGATTCAATCAGTGATCTCAGAATTTGGTGAGAATCAAAGTCTTTTTGTTTTGACAGATTCATATCACCCAGCAGGATATTGCAGGTACGAAGCTTTAAAGGATGAATTAATTAGAGTCTGTATAGTAGTTGATGCAATATGAGGTCTGTAGATCCCTTCCTATGTGAGGTCAAAGATAATCAAAAAAGTTTCTGGACCATCAGAATGAATACACAAGAGTTTGAAACAGCTTTTAAACTCCACAAAGGAGCAGCTGTCTCCATACTGGCAGACAGTTTGCTATGCTGAAAGGCTGTGAGAGTCAGACCAACATAAAAATTCAAAGTTTGGGAGGCACAGGATTTCATGTGTGTAGGTAAATCAGCATGAAGCTTTGTCACAGAAAACAAAAGAAAACAATGAAACATTATATATACACCAGAGAATCAGAATACCTAATTGTTGAGCAGAAATGTATTTATTTGTCTAGGTCTCTTAGGGAGAATGAGTAAAATAATTTAGAGTGAAGACAGGGGAGAATTTGGCAAGAATTTCCAGTCTCTCAAAGGTTTAGGCAAATTGAAGCAAAAATGTTGCATTACTCTGCCAGGCAATGTTAAACACATGTGGTTGTACATTCCGAGGGAAATTCCTCATGCTTTAATGAGAAATGAAAATATCCAGTTAGACAGCATGATTGAAAGCAAGATCACATCACCAGTGACAGACCTGACATGATGATGCTCAGGGCTAGCAACTTATCTGAAAGGGAGGGGATCTAAACTTGTGTGCGACTTTCACTCAGTTAAACATAAGAGTTAAGAGGGAAATCCATGCTCTTTCATCTGTTCATGATAAGGTGGGAAAATTGACAACAAACAAGTATTTAATGAAACTTGGCGCCAGGAATTTAGTATGGCACATAACCTTGGATGAGGAGTCAAGGTTTATGGCCACATTTATTATGCTATCAAGGTGATATTACTTCAATAGTCTATTGTTTGGGATCTCTTCTGCACCAGAGATTTTCCAAAGGACAATGGCTAGAACCCTGAACAGAAAACAGTAATCCATTTGCTACCACGAATCATAGAATCCCTACAGTGTGGGAACAGCCCCTTTGGCCCAATAAGTCCACACTGACCCTTGGAGCATCCCACCCAGGCCCATACCCCTTTAACCCACCTAATCTACACACCCCTGAACACTATGAACAATTTAGTATGGCCAATCCACCTAACCTGCACATCTTTAGACTGTGGGAGGAAATCAGAACACCCAGAGGAAACCCACGCAGACCTGGGGAGAACGTGCAAACTCCACACAGACAGTCATCCGAGGCTAGAATTGAACCCAGGTCCTTGGTGGTGTGAGGTGGCAGTGCTAACCACTGAGCCATCATTCCACCCCAAATGCATGGTAAAACAAAACACAAACATGATCAGACAATCAGGAACATGTAAAGTCTGTGCTCTGCAGTGCCTTTAACAGTGAATGAGAAATGCCAATTCTCAGATTTACAATTACTTTTTGAAGAAACATTCTCCAAGAACAAAGCATCATAGTGGATCCAACGAAGAAAGGGACCATCTAGTGAATCTTCCACACCCAAGTGTGTAAGTAATGTACAGTGCTTCTTAGGTGTGGTAAATCAATTGTGAAAATTAATCTCTAACTTACCCAGATTTACTCAACCCATAAGAGAGTTTTTGAAAAATGGTCAGCAATGGTATCAGACTCAAGAATAAACTTCGACAATTGATAAGATTAATTAGAAGTTACTTTCTACTGATGTTTTAACATGTTACAGTCCACTCTTATTCACCATTGTAGCCACAAATACTTTGCCCACCGGACTACGGGCAGTCCTTATTCAAGTGCAAATTTATTGAACATAAAAATAGGTATGTTTTACATTTGAGAGCTTTGATAGAGACTGAATAGAGATATGCAACCACAGAAGAGGATTCATTTGAAGTTGAATGAGGATGCGAAGGACTCACAGACGATTTCATGGGTCTGAAATTTCAGGTCAAGACAGACCCCCAGCCTTTGGTAACATTATTGAGATCAAAAGAAATCTGAAAAATGTTTCTGCATGTCAGGATTAGGCTGATAGATAAGACTGTGGTATAGTCTATTTTTCAGGCAAGATGCAAGTAAAGGCATACAGTCTTGGAAGCAGTGGTGAATTAAGCAGAAAAATCTTATTCTTGGAAAAAGAAATAGTATCTAAATCTGCAGTAATATCAATACTCTACCAGAAACCTCAGCCAAATTCATTGAGCTCAAAGTGGTCAAAATAAAGTCCACCAGACCAAATGCAGGAAAGGGTACCACAAGCAGAAACGACATTTGACAATAGTGTAAGATTTATAGGTATGTGACTATAGAATAATCATACCAAACCTATTGCAAACAGAAATCCGACAGAAACTTCATGAGAGATATCTTAGTATCCGAAGACACAGAGCAAGATCACAACAATCAGCGTAGTGGCCAGGCATTTCAAAAGATGTCAGGTTACATTGTAGTGTGTCAAACTTGTACCACACACAGTCAAGAGCCTAGCCAGCTAATGATTTCATCAACATTTTAACAAAGGCCATGGGAAAGATTAGCAACAGTTTTGTTTGATTTTAGAGGGAAAAAATATTTAGTTCAGTCATCTACTGTTCAAGATAGATTGAACTGACAAGACATTATTCAACTGCAGCAAACTCCAAGATCAGAGCATTGAAAAGGAACTTGTTGTTACAATGTTTCCTGAAAGAATTAGTATTGGACAGTAATCCTCTGTACATGAATGAAGATTTCATGAAGTCCACTTTGGAGGCAGGCATCAATCAGATGACAAGTTCTCTACTTCATCCTTGGTCAAATAGGAGATAGAAAGAGCAGTCAAGGCTATGAAATCACTGATGTCAATAAGAATCCACACCAGGAATTACTCTACTCAGTTATAGAGCAACATGATTTGGTACTTACCTGAGGAATTGTTAATGGGGAGGATGCCAAAAACAGACATATCAGTTTTAGAATGCATCCTTAGGCCAAACATAATCTCTCAAGAACACTGGAAGGTAAAGCAACTAGAGAAAAGCCACCGTGAAAATCAGCAGAAGTGATGTAACTCTAGACACAAGGACAAAAGCTGTCAACTTTAAAGTCAGAGCAGAAAATCTGTTTAAGGGACAGGAAATCAGAAGCTACAGCATCAGAGAAACAGCTCAACTAAGATTTAATATTGTCAGAACGCCTAAAAGGATTTTCAACAGAAACAGTTAGACATTAAACTTACTTGAGGCAAGAAATGAGACCAAGTAGGATCATAGGACATTGGGCAGCCATACCTATAATCTATCAGATGGTGTACAAAGTGGTGCAATACCATTACCATAGCGTGAACTCAAGTGAATCAAATTGGGATATTCAATCAAAGTTCCAGATTGTCTCAATATGAGTGATTCAGACTTTGGTGGGGTGGGAGTTATAGGCGAGAAGATCATAATGGTGATAATGATAGAAATGATGTTAATAATAGTGTCAATTATTAAGAAAACTATGTAAGTAAATAAAAATAAACTAACCGTTAAATGGGTTACATAGAACATGGATACTGCTGAAATAAAGATACATTTTGTTGAAGCTTTTTGTCTTACACTCTTCAGAACAATTAGCAAAATTTCCAATTTAAGAGGAAAACCAACATTCACATGTGTGCGAGGAGAATGTTGATTACTTAGCAAGTGGATTCTGATTAGTCGAGGCATTGTTATGAAGAATGCACCAATTAATGATAATTTTGCAATGGTTGTGAGAGAAATACTTTGTATACTCAGCAAACGTTGTCCAATTGCAGAGTCCTATCTAATGTTGGACAATGTATTGCAAACTTTGTAAGCACAGGCTTGTTTAGTTTGTTGATACATTGCTTGAAGCATCCTTGTCAGTCAGGCTCGCAGTGTGGAGCATTTTTGAGTATTAGATGATACATGTATTAAGAGATAGACTCCATGAAGGAACATATAGAAACACTGCATCTGTTTCCGCTCAACAAAATAGGTAACAGCCATTTGTTAGTTAATTTCTCAGGGCAATACCGTGACTTATTAGAACTTGCCTAGTTTAAAATTTAAATGAAGTCTGGCAGTTAATTGTCAATAATCATTAACTGATGAATTCACCATGGTAACACTACTACCAATCAGAGTCCACAAACCAAACAATCAGCATTCTTCTATTATTTAGTATAAATGTTCATTTTCTCCCTGAATTGGTATTCTTGTGAATTGTCCTGATGAATGCAAAATGAAAGATTTGACAAAATATATCTTTTTTCCAAAGCAAATTACTGGATTATTGTAAATCAAGTGGAAAGTAACCATTGGGAAATATGATATATTGAGATTCAAGTTAGTCATGAAGTTGCAACTGATTACATGATTCTGATATCAGGAAGAGAGAAGATTCCAGTCTAAAATGAGCATGTGAACAAAGAGGAGGAGAAGTATGTTGATAATCTATTACGTACAGATATAAATAAAGGAGTGATATGGTATATAAGGTGATGAAGAGCCTTACTTAGAGATAAGAAGCTAGCAGTCTCAAGGGCAGTATGTATGCAGACGCACAGCCTGAGATACACTAGGCTGGTATGTCATATTTTCAGGGAGCAGAATTGACTTGAAGCACGAGATTATACACTCCTTGTGATCGTTGCCTTGGTAGAAGTAAATGAAGAACTCTCACCTGCAGCCATCTGAAGCTTGGCTTTTCTCTTCTCCTCTGCTTGCTGGATTTGCTCTTCAATCAACTTTTCATCGACCTCCACACATGGCTGAGTTGGTTGCAGTGACTCCAAATAATCAATATCTTTTTCAATCCTCTCAATTCTGGATCCAACAATCTCCATCTCGTTCTTGAACTCAGTTTTGTAAATATTCAAACTGTCCAAGCGGACTGTGATTTCTTTCCGGAAGTCTCTAAACTCCCTGACATACTTGTTCATGTCTTGGTTACATTTCTCTAGCCGGTCCTGTTATTAAGATAAATTGGTGAAGATATAATCTTAACATTAAGTGGTTGACTTCCTAGCTAAGTGGTTAGATGATATTGCTAACATACAAATGACATTTGTGTGTAAATTCAGTATTACTATTGAAGGAAACATGCCATTAATCAAAACATTACCTGAAATAAAATCTGTAATAAGTGGTTTGAAAATGCTTCCAGTAGTTGGAGTGTCAGTATAGAGGTTGTGGGCTTCATTGAATTGGCAAGAAAACCACACAAGAAGAATTTTCTTACGCAGCCAATTGCTTCGATCTGGAATGCGCTGACTGAAAATTTGGAGGGAGCAGCTTCAATAACAACTTCAATAGCAACTCATTTAAGTAATTGTTTAATTCTATTAAATGAGAGGAAATTACACAGCTGAAAGAGTGGGGGAGTGAAACTAATTTGATTGCTCTTTCAAAGACAGATGTGACAGTAGAATGTGTGCTATAGGATTCTATATCTTTATGTGTTGTGAAGAGATGCTATTGATGTAAGCCTTGCTAACAGTCGTATTGTTAACAATTATATAACTACATGCCTAGTGCATTGACATTTGTTATTTGCATTCCATCCATGCTATTTTTAGCAGATGTTTCCACATCTGGAACTTTCATAAGAATATAGGAACAGGAGTAGGTCATTCATTCCCTTGAGCCAGTTCCACTATTGAATTACACCAAAACTGATCTGTATTTTAACTCCATCAACCCTTGTTTGTTCTGTAACCCTTAAGAACTTTTACTCATGAAAATGCATCAATTTCAGTTTTGAAATTTTCAGTTGACTCTCAGCCATCTTCCCTTCCTCCACCCCCCAAATATGTTCCTAGGGGGAATAAGTTTTCAAACTTGGTAACCCTTTGTCCGTAGAAGTGCCTTCTTGCATCAGCTCTGAATAAGCCAATTTATATTTTAAGATTTTGTTTCCTTGTCCTGAGCTTCTCCCTTCGAGGAAATTGTTTAGGAACATTGGAGCAGGAGTAGGTCATTCAACCTGTCAGCGTGCCTCACCATTCAACACAATCATGTTCACAGTCTTCAATACCCTTTACCCACCCCATCCCTTTTACACCACTGGTAATCAGAAATCTATCAATCTCTCCCTTGAGCATACTCAAAACACTGAGCTTCCACAGCCCTTTGAGGTAGAGAATTCCCAAAGTTCACAAATTTCTGAATAAAAAAAAAATCTTTCTTATCATGAAACCTCAATTAAATCTTTCCCAAATATTCCATACACAAGGGGATTTTGGCCTAATTGATGCAACCTGACCCATAATTTGATCCTTTCTCAGCTAAAAGCTTTGACAGGCCAAGTACTGGATATCAAGAAACAAATCATTGTGCAATGTTCAAAGCTTCAAACTCTGCTTGGTAAAAAAAAACCTTAGTAAATTATTTTCTAATTGCTTTACTGCTCCAAACTTGACACAATAATAAAAAATAGTTAATATGTAAATCCCCCTGGAGAGTGTATTCAGGTACTTGAATATAGCTTGAATAAGTAACAAGAAACATTTGGCTTTTTACAGAATTTGCACAGAATACAATTTTTTTTAAATTGCTATAACCATATGTTAATGCGAGGTGTTACAGCATTCCCTGTAGTTTTGGCTCTTTTTCTATCTGTGCTCACTTCTTTAGGCATGGCAGAAAGTTTTCATTGTGGGTCTATTCACAATGGTCCCTGATGATTGAGCTAGGTTCGCTGATGGGAATGAAAATGGTCTGGCTTGTTTTTGTTGCTCCTGCGCCAGCCACAAAGTTGGAATTGATATTTGCAACTCAAGACTAGCCAAAAGCTGATTGCAGAAGAAGACTGAACAAAGGCTCTGGCAAAAACTTCTACAGTCACTAACAGAGAAACCATATCATTCCCGCTATTGCATAGACTCCCACATGGGGCGGCAAGATTTATGAACTTTCTCCCATCCAGTATACAAGGGGTTGGAAGAGGCTCACATGAAGCAGAAACACCAACCTGGATCTGTTGGGCTGAATGGGTCTGTTTCAATGCCGTAAAACTAAGTATCAGTGCCATGTAAGCAGTCTTTTCTGTACTGAGGATAAATTTATTTTCTAATCGTCGTTCATTCTTAGAATGTAGCAGTTCTCTAAGGTTTTGGAGTAGGTTTGTAGCTCGGGTTGTGGGTGTTGAGGTTGTTGAGGTTGGTTGGCTCGCCGAGCTGGTTTCTTGTTTCGCAGACATTTCGTTACCATGCTTGGTAACATCCTCAGTGCAGCCTCCGATGAAGCGTCGGTGTGTTTTCCCACCTGGTTTTTAAACTCTGGGATCCGTTGAGATGGATTGCCTCACTTCTGGTTTTCCTTCGTAGTGGAACGTATATGGGGTCGAGTTCAATGTGTTTATTAATAGCATGCTTCGTGGAGTGCCACGCTTCTAGGAATTCTTGTGCCTGTCTCTGTCTAGCCTGTCGCGGGATCTTGGTGTTGTCCCAGTCGAAGTGGTGGTTCTTCTTGTCCCTGTGGATTGAGATGAGTGAGTATTAGTCGTGTCTTTTTGTAGCCAGTTGGGGTTCATGTACTCTTGTTGTTAGTTTCCTTCCTGTTTGTCCGATGTAGTGTTTCTCACAGTCTCTGCAGGGGATCTTATAGATGACATTGGTCCTTTCCATGGCGGGGAGTGGGTCTTTAGTTTGGGTGAGCAGTTGTCATAGGGTTGACATGGGCATGTGTACCACTCTGATGCCCAGCAGTCGTAGGAGTCTTGTGGTGAATTCCGATGTGTTTCTGATATAGGATAGTGTGATGACTGTGTCGGAGCGTGTAGTCTCTTTCTGATGCTGTTCGTGTAGGCATCTTCTGACCCAATGGATGCCCAAAGAATTGGGTCAGAAGATGCCTACACGAACAGCATCAGAAAGAGACTATACTCCCCGACACAGTCATCAAACTACCCTATATCAGAAACATGTCGGAACTCACCACAAGACTCCTACAATCGCTGGGCATCAGCGATGCCCATGTCAACGCTATGACAACTGCTCACCCGAACTAAAGACCCACTCCCCACCATGGGCAGGACCAATGTCATCTATAAGATTCCCTGCAGAGACTGTGAGAAACACTACATCGGACAAACAGGAAGGAAACTAACAACAAGAGTACATGAATACCAACTGGCTACAAAAAGACACGACCAATACTCACTCATCTCAATCCACATGGACAAGGAGAACCACCACTTCGACTGGGACAAGACCAAGATCCTGGGACAGGCTAGACAGAGACAGGCACGAGAATTCTAGAAGCATGGCACTCCACGAAGCATGCTATTAATAAACACATTGAACTCGACCCCATATACATTCCACTACGAAGGAAAACCGGAAGTGAGGCAATCCATCTCAACAGACCCCAGAGTTTAAAAACCAGGTGGGAAAACACACCGACGCTTCATTGGAGGCTGCACTGAAGATGTTACCAAGCATGGTAACAAAACTTCTGCGAAACAAGAAACCAGCTCAGCGAGCCAACCAATCTCAACAACTTCAATGTTGCAGTTATTGCCCATCTGTTGTTGCGCTAAAAAGGAGGTGGCCTTTTTGGAACAGTTTTTTACCACCTAGTGGTAGGGGCCTGGATCTCACTGCCTGTTGGAGGCCCTCATCACGTGCAGAAATGCAGTTGAGATGCCATGATTTATATAGCTGCAGGCAAGGAGCTGGAAAGTGGAGTTAAGCTGGATAACTCTACCAACCAGCATGGATATGATGGGCCAATTGGACTCCTTCTGTGCCATAAATCTTCCTATGTTTTCAAATGCTGCAGCCTGAGTCCTTATGTATATACAAGAGATTTATACACAATTGTAGAAGGTGTGATTGAGAAGTTCTCAAATGATACGGAAATGTAGTCTTGTGGTTGACAGTGAGGAAAGCTGTAGACTACTGTGGACTGGTCAGGTGGGCAGAAAATTGACAAATGGAACACAGTTCGGAGTAGTGAGAAGTGTTGCATTTGCAGAGGACAAACATAATGGGGAAAACACACAATGACTGGTAAGAGACCAAGTGTGGATGAACAGAAAGACTTTGGAGTGAATTTCCATAGCGGGAGACCATTCAGTCTATTATTACTGTGCCAGCTTAGAGTTTCCACTTAATCACAGATCTCCGGATCTTTGTCTACAGACTTTCTTCAAAACTTCACTTTCAAAATTACCATTCGATCTGCTTCTGCCAACCTTTCAGGAATTCAGGGTGTGACATCTTACTGAATAAAGTTAATTCTCTTCTTCCTGCCTGAAATCTTTGTTCTCTGGTTGTTGACTCTCTGATCACTGGAACCCCAAGTTCACCATATTTCTTCTATCAATTCGATAAAACATAGAGCTGGAGGAGCACAACAGATTCCATCAATTCAACTTGTATTTTTATAAAAGTCTATTTTAATGCTTGGTAGACAATAATAAATGCCATCGCTAAAATTGTGTTATGGTACTGAATGCCACAATTAAATAACTCATAAGGAAATGTTGCAAGCACAGTGCAATATAGATGCAAGTTGTTGACGTTCACAATTAGATATCTTTTCTTTCAGCCTAATTTCGAGGGTACATGAGAAAGACACAGTGTTGACTATATCACTTACCTCAAGTAACATGATTCGTCTCTCAATGTATTGCATGAGTAAAGCATCTTGAGTCATCCGTTGGGCTTCTCCAAAGCTTTGGGTTAAAAAGAGAAACATCAACAGCCTTAGTAACTGGATCCGATCGAACATGATTGGGAGTTTTATCCCAGAGGTTCAATGGAACAGAGTGAAATACCAAGCCGTACTGTTAATTTTTGTTTGAAGTTTTCAGTTTCACTTGCCCTGAAAGCAGGTAACAGCATGCAACGGCTTGAAATTTTGATGAAGAAGTTAAGAAAGAGTATGCAATTAAAACTATGCCAAGAGCTGGTAGGTCAGTACTTGATAGCTTAAACAGAGAGAAGTCTCCGGCTGTGTCTGAAGGGTGCATTTGTGTGTGGAGTCAGGATATTTTTCCCCAGATCCTAATTGTTTCCACGTGCATTGAAATGACTCATGCAGACTCAGAACCAGCCAAATAAAACAGAAAAAAGCAATGGAAAGAAATAAAGCTTTTTTAATTAGTCTGCAAACCTACACTATTATTACATAGTGAGGAAACTGTGGGCAAAATTATTAAACATGGCACTAAGTAAATCTCAGAATGTAGTCAGCAGTCAATAGCAGGTAATTGCTTTGAAAATCAATCCTGCTTTTATAATTTTCTGGAATACCAAAATAAGGTATGTTTAATGATGTAGTGTGCTCAATGTTTGTATTCCCTTAACAAGCAAAGATTAAGATGTGAATTAATTGAAGGATTTGATGGGACAGAAACTGTTTGGCTGGGAGTAGAGCAGTTCAGGTCAAGAACCTTAAGATCAGAGTTAGGCCATTCAGGATAATATCAGAAACAATTTCTTCATATGAAGTGTGGCAGCAATTTGGAACTCTCTCCCCACAGCTGTTAGCTGTTAGATGTCAGTGAAAATTTTCAAAACTGGAATTGATCAGTCTTTGTTAGACAAGGGTATTGAAAACCAAAGTGGAGAAATGGATTTTAGATGAAGCTTAGCTCCGATTGATTTAAATGATGGGACAGGCTTGAGGAGATGAATGGCCTCTTTTTGTGTTCCTATTATCTGGTGGAATTGAAGGCTGCACGCAACTAACAGTGAAGGGGGCTCATCTGTGACATTTCCTCATCAAGCAACGTTTAGGTGGCTTACTGGTCAGCACTGCTACCTCACATTGCCAGGGACACAGGTTCAATTCTAACCTCAGGTGATTGTCTGTGTGGAGTTTACATGTTCTCCCTGTGTCTGTGTGTGTTTCTTCCCACAGTACAAAGATGTGCAAGTTAGGGGGATTGGTGATGCTAAATTGCCCAAATTTGTGCAGGATATGTGAATTATGGGAAATGTGGGGTGATAGGGTGAGATGCTCTTGGAGGCCTGGTGTGGACTCATTGGACTGAACGGCCTGTTTCCACACTTTAGGGATTCTATGATGATTCCAGCCTGAGTGTCACTGTACTGAGCATTCACATTGAACAGAATATCAATCCTGTATCATATGCTGCTGGTATTTTATTTTTCTGTAATTTCTCTTGGTGTTTCTTAGCCAGTCCTGAGCAAGTGTACTGTGACAACGTTTACGAGCTAACTGCTTGTGGGAAAGCGTAGGACATATGGCACAGAAACAGACCATTCAACCCAAGCAATCTATGAGATTCTTGGGAATAGCGATAGAATTAAAGTGCGTGTTCAAAATGGCTCCTTTATTTAAACAGTCTTTTCAGTCTCTCTTCTGCTTCCCTCTGCTGGTACAATTCTGTGCGGCAGCTTCAAGTGAATAAAACAAACAATGTGGCATTTTTCTAGACATTGTACTCTCCATTCCTCCACTGTAAATGAGATATAGCATTAATTGATTTGTCCCTAAACTGAAAATAATAAACTTAAGCATCACTAGAATATTTAATTTATTACATTTTAACTTATGTATTTTCTAACATTGCACTCAGTTATTTACAATGAAGTAAAATATTTCTTCACCAACCGAAAACAGTTCACTTTACAACAGACAGCCAGATTTTCCGAGGAGTGTCAGTCACACTCATATTGCCATCCTGCTCCTAATGTTTTATGAGATGAAAAAGTTCCACATTTCTGACAAGAGACATCACTCAAGGTTCCTTCAGAAATGTGAACCCATCCTTCTATTCTGACAGATCCCTGTCAGTGTAAAACAGTCAGGGAAAGGCAAACTATGCCACTTTTCTCACTGCAGTCAGTTGAAAGTCTGAAATTGAAAAGTCCAGCGTCACAGACCAAGTATGAGAACTCCTATGAAAGGGTAAGCGCATAAGGGGTGCCAACAGAGTAGGATAACAGATGGATGGGGTGGTAGAGAGTTAGTTACATCAAGTGTCAGGTAAGTAGGGTGCCAGGTGAATAAGGTGCTAAGATACCCGTGCATAGGATGGCAGGGCACAAGGGACTCAGTTAAATGATGTAGTGTTTCAGGTAGATATGGTTTAGTGGGAGATATTAGGGGTGAGTCAGATCTGATGGCAGAGTGTGGGAGGTTGTTGAGTCTGGAATGGGAGATGGTGGAGTCATGAGTGACAAAGTTTCGGCTTGTGTCAGCTCCAGTAGGAATGGGGTGTGGGAAGAAGTGTTACGTCTTGTCTGGCACTAATACGTGTGTCAGGTTCTGGGGGTTGTCAGGCTAGGGTTTGTGTGGTGTAAGTGATCTGGAGGTAGTATAGTTGGAGGTGTGTGAGGTACGATGTAGGGTAGATGAATAGTTACTCAGGAATTAGATTAGGTATTTAATTCATACAGTCACCCAAGGCTGGAATCAAACCCAGGTTCCTGGCACTGTGAGGCAGCAGTACTAGCCACTGAGCCAACATGCTGCCCTGATCTAGCCATCAGAAAATCTGAGCCATACTCACTTAAGTGTGATGGATAATTCCCTCGTGAGTTGCGTATCATCTAACATCAAGTCCGGTCTCATTTAATTTATGCTTTTCATTGAGATTTCAACATCAGAATTGTATTCAAAGCACATGACCAATATTTTCAGTACTTTGAAGAATGATACATTTTGTATATGACAAATGAATTGTGCTTAGTACTATTCATTGATTCTTTTTGGTGGTCACAACAAGTAGTTGTAAGTTATTAGGGATTGTTTGCTTTCTAATATGACCATCACATTCCACAATTAAGTATTTTATCACTTTAGTGGTCTACCTTTAAATTTAATATTTTCCTTTGCATTCAATCTCATTCAATCATTCTGTCCTCAATTTCATTCACATACATGCTGATGCTTAGCTCTGGAGGGGAGCTCAGAAAGCCGTGTACACATAGGATGTTCCTGAAGAGTGTACCTGGAGATTTGCTTGCCCTGTAGTAGTGAGGAAAACATTACAGCTCTTGTTTCCATGACTTGATCTAAACTGTAGATGTACATAACACTTTTTCAAGGTATCCATAGATTTTTTTTAACTTCTCCATTAGTTCTTGATTAATGAGGTGTGTTTTTTTTTGATAAGTACAACATACTTAGTTCACAGAATTATTGAACCAATTGCTGTTAGTTGATGTCTATTGTCACTTTTCACCCTAAACAAAGGAAAAGTCTGGTCAATAAATAGAGAGAGGAGGGGTGGGGCTGGGGAAGGTAGATGGGACGGTGATAGTTGAATGCAGGCAGGGACTGGTGGGGATTGGTCAGTGGGATGGGTGGGGCCTATCCACCCCACCCATTCCACTCACCAATCCCCATTACTCCCTACCTGCACTCACCTATCACCATCCCACCTACCTTCCCCAGCCCCACCCCTCCTCTCTCTATTTATTTCCCAGTTCCCTTCCCCCTCCCCCTTTCTGAAGAAGGGTCTGGACTTGAAATGTCAACTTTCCCGCTCTGCTGATGCTGCCTGGCCTGCTGTGTTCCTCCACCTCCATGCTGTGTTGATTTTAACTCCAGCATCTGCAGTTCTTGCTATCTCTGGAGAATCCGGTCAAACTTTGGAATGACTGTTTTCATTGAAATAAGCACAATTATTCCCATGAGTGGAAATCTGCTGTAGTCATCAGTAACAACAAACAAGTGTTTATGACGGCGCAAATCTGCTAAATCAGTGCTCTAAGGTTTTGGCGTAGATCTGTAGCTTGGGTTGTGGGTGTTGAGGTTGGTTGGCTCACCGAGCTGATTTGTTGTTTTGCAGACGTTTCGTTACCATGCTTGATAACATCGTCAGTGCAGCCTCCGATGAAGCATTGGTGTCTTTTCCTGCCTGGTTTTTAAACTCTCAGTGCTAATTTGAGTCCATGGTTATGGATTCTAGTTCAGACATCTTGACAGAATCATGAAAATTTAACATTGTGTTTGCTTGAATTTGTGTTGTAACATACATTTGATTTCTAGGAGCCATAAGCTTTCTCTAAGGAGTTGTTCACTTTAGAAACTTGCTGCTGCCCTGGACATACTAAACAAACAGCATGTTGCTTCAATGATTGTGGAATGACAAGACAGTTTTTGCATAATGTAGATTAGATGTGTTGTAACAATTAGCTTATTTTGAACATTCTGAAGATCTTGTTGTGCCAACGATTTCATTCATAGAAGTTCTTTCAATGAGCCTCATTTAATGAGTGACCTAGTAGTTTGTGAGCATTTGTGAAACAGCAATCATAATATGATTGAGCTGCATGTGGTCTTTTACTAGGATGACACTTAGATTTCATGGATTATGTTAAGAGGAGAGTTTAGACAAATTCGGCCTTTGTTCTCTAGAATTTAGAAGGTTAAGGGGTGATCTAATCATAGTCTTCAGGCAATTAACAAGGAAAGACAGGTTGGATAAATTATTTCCACTGTTGGAAATTCTAGAACCAAAGGGCATAATCTGAGAATTAAGGCCTGGCTATTCAGGAGAGATTTTAGAAGCACTTCTACAATAGAAGAGTACTGGAGGTTTGGAACTCTCTCCCTCATAAACAAGGCTAACATATGGAGTTAGACCACAGAACAGCCATGACCTTATTGAGTGGCAGAACAGCCTCAAGGGCCTGAATGATCTAATCCTGCTCTTTTTTACTGAGTCACATCTCAAAATTCCATAGCTACTGTACTTTGTCTAGCACTTTGTTTTATTTTACTTCAATGTCAGCTGGTTTTGGCAACTTTGACACTATGTTTAGGCTTATTGGTAGTTCTCCCTATAACGTGATGGTTGTGTTCTTGTGTGAAAAATCAGATAGAAAATCATTACACTTGTACAGCAGAAAGTTTGCATAATCCAAACAGCGTCCACTATTCATCAATCATGTTGCAGCCAATTTGTGTTAGCGAAACACATGTTATAACAAAACTACCTGTACATAGTTAAGATGTTGTCTTACAGCCTT